CATTTTGGTTTGATACATTTATATACAGCAATATGTACCTTACCTGAACACCACTATCCTGTCACATAATTATTTCTTTTTTGTGATGAGAACAATTCAGATCTAGTCAGTCACCTAGCAACTTTGAAGTTGCTAGTACAGCACTGTTGACTAAAAGCACTATGCTGTGTATTAGATCTGCAGGACTTATCCTCTGCTAGTTGCAAGTCTGTAACGTTACCGCACCCAGCACCGCTGAGAGGCAGGAGGTGCCTGCACCCGAGGGGGACACAGGGCCTTGAAATTCCAAGGTGGACTTTTTGCACACGGCCATTGTTTGGATTTGATATTCTGATCATCCCACTGCTACATCAAATTCCCAATCCTCATGTCAAAATGCTGCCATAGGCTGGGGGATAGCATTTTTAATTTGTCCTTCTACGTAGCACATTCTGAAAGAGTTTTCCAGTATGGACTCTTGTTAAAAAAGGAAAAGTCTCCTGTGATATAGTGCATGACTTAACTTTATCCACATGCTCTCAGGTGGCCTGAGAAACTTAGTCCAGTATCTGGTTTTCTTTGTCACAAAGCATAAGTATCAACACACACACACACACACACACACACACACACACTCATACACACATACCACACATGTGATTTTAACTATAAATTTGACCTACCTCAGAAGATGTATGAAATGCTACTTGTCACGACAGTCAACAAATTGGAACAAGGGAGTAGTTGGTAGAAATAGCACATAGTCAACAGTTATTGTTACTGACTTATTTTAAATAAATTTAACCTGTCATGAAAACCTTTTCTTATCCAAAGCCCAAGTAGAATTTTACACTGCCCAATTGTAACACTTATTCATCTAGTTTGCTATTTTTTTCTGTAAGTGAAAACAAAGATATTTTTATATTTGGTGCAGCTGTCTTCTTTTTCATGCTGATCTATAAAATGAGATTTATAAACTTAGGTGGTCAAAAGAAACCACCGTCAGGTTTTGTAAAAAAAAAAAAAAAAAAAAAAAAAAGTGTGAAACCTCAAGGAAACTACAAAAAAAAATCTAGAACTAATAAATGAGGTCATCAAGTCACTGGAATATGACTTGAACAAGCCGTCATTGAATTCCATTCCTTTGAGTTACAGTGAGGTGATTAAAAAAAAGATTGACCTGGAAGTATACGATTTTGAGTTATAAAAAGAGTTAATTTAAAAGACATTGAATACTGAATTCTAAGATTTGAATACTGGGAATTGTGGGACTACTAATTAAAGGTGACAAAGTTGGAAACTCTCGGTCAGATGAAGCACTTGCATAGATTCATCTAGGTTGGTTTTCAACTGCCATGTTGAGATTAGTGGGGAAACATCAGTGGAGTTATAGCTGGTCTATAGGGAAGTCTATAATCCATAACCACAATCATTCTCACTTATTTTCCAGTGTTAAAAACATCTGGAAATAGCATGATAATATCCCACATGAGACTGTCAATTTTCAAGTGATTTACATCAGGAAAAAACAGTCAAGAAGTGAGAACTCTGATCTTTTCATTGTATCTATTAATTTTATCTGAGAAGAACAGAAAAGCACATTTTATAGAATAAAATATTCTCAATTGTTAATAGTGTTTGTGACAATTTTTGAAAATGTCCTTTACTTCATTTGGCTTAGTTAATTGCTTGATTAAGAGTTTCATTAATGACAGAGCACATTGACTGAAAGCTCCTCACATATGCAAGGTATATTCTCTCCAGGAAATACTCATATTCTACCTGTACATTGCAAACTAAGTGTAGAAACCATACCACACACAATATCTGATTTCATTCTCATAAAATCACCATGAGCTAAAAATGGAGACTTTTTAAATTTTACTTTTAAACCCTTTTCTCTCCATTTCACAAATAAAATAAGGTTTAAAATGCCATCATAAAGGGGCAAATAGGACTCAATTCTAAGTCTTCAGAGTCTTAGCTGTAATATTTTACTTGGCATATTTCTCAAGTATCTCTCTGTCCTCATGTGAGGTTTTGTTATTAAATGATGCCAAAGGGAAATGAGTACTTTTAATCTCTAACAAATACACTTTCAATGTTTTTTTAATACTAACCTTATTTAAAGATAGTTTTCCTGATAACTAAAACTATATTTCTAGTGAAATCATCCCAGACACTATTGGATAGTGGGAGAAATTTAAAATTTGTGTGGAAGACAAATGAGTTCTATATTTTTTATCATTTTCATGCCAACAAATGTTCTGGCTATAGAGGAAGATAAAACCAATTTTAAAGCAGCATTACCACCATTAGGCAAACTGTCCTCTAAAATTCTCTATTCTGATTGGGTTTCTCCTGGACTATTACATACTTATTATTACTCTGTCTGCAACTACCAGGATTAATTTTGTGTTGCTTATTCTACCCAGAATTTAAGTGAAGTAAAAACTATTGTGAGAACAAGAATTGAGAGTGATTACAATTCTTATCATTTAAGACATTTTAGTCACTAAAATTTGGTAATTTTTAGACAAAATGACTCTCTGACCATCATAACCCAATCTCTTACTAATATTGTTGACTTTTTCCTTTTGTTGCGCTGCCCCAAACCCCAACTCACCCATCCTATGTCTGGCAGTGGAGGACCTCTGGACCCAGCAAAACCACCACATGAGCTGGTCTTCCCCTGGGCCCCTCTATAGCATGAGCGAAACCCCATGTCTTCCCGCCTGGCAGCCACTTCCATTCTCCACAGTGAATGTCTCAGATTCTTAAGACATTCCTACAGCCAACTTTACCTAGTCATCTAAACTCAGCCTCTCCCCTAGAAAAACCTAAGCAATGAAGCAGTGGTTCCTCTACTCCCCTGACGTGCTACCACTTTTAGATGCTCATTTTACCACTTTCTCCAGCATGTGGGAGGAAGTGCTGTTTCTTCCTGGTGGGAGACACACCCTCCGCTGTATTCAAACCCCTCTTTCTCAGCAACTTCCTTCTCTTCAACTCCCCGCCTCTGCAACAACTCCCTGTCTTTTATTGTTATTATTTTTAATCCAGCCTGTATGTGTTTCTGTCTCAGCATATAAATATTGAAGTCTCTCCCACTCCCCACCCCAGAGATTAGACTGTTTTACTTCTGTCCTTCACAGCCAAGATTGAGAAAGTAAGTCCCCACAGACCCCACTGCCACACCGCCGATGGCCGTCTGTGTCCTCCCTGCAGCACCATCCGCGTTCTCGTTTCTCTGGTCTCTCTTCTGTCGATATCAGTCAATCTTAAATATACGTTATCCCTTTGTTCTGATTACTAATTTCTTTTAATTTCCCTATTCTTTTCCTGAACACTCAATTCTTTTTTCACTCCTAAAATTGTAACATCTCTTTGTGGGTGAGTTCATTCACTCACATGTTTTTGTTTGTTTTTTACATGCTGATGACTTCCAGATCTTCTTTTCTAATATTTTCTGAATTTCATGTTCTTATAGCCCAGCGGTTCTCAACCTTCCTAATGCTGTGACCCCTTAATACAGTTCCTCATGTTGTGGTGACCCCCAACCATAAAATTATTTCCGTTGCTACTTTATAACTGTAATTTTGCTACTGTTATGAATCGTAATGTAAATATCTTTTTGTTTTCCGATGGTCTTAAGCGACCCCTTTGAAAGGGTCGTTTGACCCCCAAAGGGGTCGCAACCCACAGGTTGAGAACCGCTCTATAGCCAGTCTTTTCTTGGAACTTTAACAAGATGTTCAAAGTCAACAGGACTAATATAAAATATAAGAGTTTCTCTGTCAAAAACCTTCCTCTTCTGTCCAGGGAAAAGCATGGATAGTGGGCTCCTTCAACCAGACAGTGTTCTCAAGAGGAAGAAGATTAATGCATCCCTCTTCCCCGTATCCAGTCAGTCCCCTCTTGCTGCCAGTTATGCCTCTCTGTGTCTGTTCCTTTTCTTCACTGCCGCTGGTCTCTCACTGGATCACCTAGCACCCTTAGTTGCCTCATCTCTTTCCAGGGAATCTTTCACTGGGTACCATAATGTTCTTTCTGAAACAACTATTTGATGGTTCCATTTCTTTGTTTCAAACCATTAGTTGATTTGATGTAGTTGAAACTGTTTTGCAACATATACAGAACTCTGGCTACTTCTCCATCCTCTTCAATCTTTGCTCCTCTCACCTTAGGCTGTGCTTTAGCTGAGCTCCCTGAGTTCCCCATGTACATCATGCATGCGCAATCCTTTGTGCCTTTATATGTGTTGCTAAATATTTCAGGAACACCTTTAAAAATTTGCCTGGTAAATTCTTACTCAAGTGTCAGCTTTTGGAATGAGAGCTTCTTCCTCCCGTACAGCGTTTCCTCATTGTCCATTTCTGGGTTCAGTCCCCTTCCTACAGACTTACAGACACCTCACATTTGTCTCTATGGTTCTACTTCCATATTGTACTGCAGCCACATGTTCTCTTGTCTCTGCCCTGGATACATTGTTTCTAGTGTTGCTGTTGAGCTTCTGAGGATGAGACCTTTATCTTTATATCCTCAGCTGCTAATATTGTGTATTTGGTAGGTGATTCCTGTGTGTTTGTGGAATGAAAGGAATAAATCAATGAATTCATCAACTTCCTCATAATTAAAATATATTGTCAAGAAGAAATGATAAATTGCTTTAAATTAAAAACCTTTAATACAAATATTAATTACAAAACATATGATAGGACCCACCACATTTCTATATGAAACACATAAAACGCTGTGACCTTCTCCTTTCAGTAGGAAGGGTGCAGCTAAGGTGAGAACCAAGTAAAACAGTATAAATATGTTCTGGTACAACAAGAACCTTTTTTTCCCTTCCTGAAACATCATGTGCTATTATGTACCAAAGCCTTATAAACACATGGGTACACAATGTCCAGGTGATTTCCATTATTCTGGAGACCAAATATGGCTGAAGTGACTTTTAACCACTGGAGTCTGACTACAAGCCAGGCCATAATGCTATCTGCTTTTTATCCTAACAGGTATTTGAACCAGACCCTACGAGATGATGTGTCAATAGCAGAGCATTCTCTGAACAAGGAGAGATTTGCTGTTTTGAAACAAGCCCTGAATGTAGTTGGCTTCAGTAACTTGGTGAGTCATATAAATATTTCACTGAGAAAGCAGCCTTCTACTATTTTATCAAAGCTATTCATTCAAAAACTCTTACTGAGTCCCTATCATATTCCAGGTATGGTTGCAAACACTCATGATTCAGCAGAGAATAAACCCCAGTTTATTGGCCCATGTGGGCCAAATGGATCAAAGAACTTTACATTGACCGACTCAAGAGAAAACTGACAGGAACTGTTCACTGCTAAGAATCACTTTGAATAATCGAGTCACTTTATTAAAAATACCTTCCCGAACAATATAAAGCTTGTTTTTTATTCTGAAAGAATTACCAACTACTTGCACACATTATGAAGCTGAAAATACAATTTAAAATGTTTAATCCACTGCTGTGCAGTAGAAATTTCTGTGATTATAGACATGTTCTGGGTCTGCACACCTGGCTAGTGGCCACTGGACACTTGACATGTGGCTAGTGACACCGAAGAAAGGGATTTTTACTTTTTTCTTTGTTTTAATTAACTCAAATTGAAACAGTCTGTGCAGTTAGTGGTTACTGAACTGTAGAGCATAGGTCTAGTTGAATAAGAGATATAAAATGATCTAAGCCTTGAGACTTCTCAGAATTCCCACAGATCTCTTTCCCTTATACATTATCTCTGTTTCCTCTTATTCAATATGGCATCATTTTGAATTATGGTCAGTTCCTTATTAGCAATTAATATAAGATTACATGAATAACTTGGGTATGCCAGTAGTCTAGGAACCCAGATTTAGTCATAGATTTAAATAAGTTCTTTTTCTTCTTCTTAAAGCAGTAGGTTGATTGATTTTTGTCTTTGTTTTTTTTTCTCTTACCCACATAGATAGGGCTAATGGGGCAGCCAGTGGTTGGGAAAGGGTTGGAAGGTGGCAAAAAGGGAGGGGTGAGGAGATGGGGACTCAGCCTAAGTGAATTAGCTCTAGGCACTTTGCTTCACCCCACCCTTTCCCATCCAGAGATCAGAATTCTAGGAACATGCAATCACATCATTTTTTTTCTCTGATTATCCAATCTTTGTGTTTCTGTCTTTTACTGACTCGTGCCCACTTGCATTTTCCTATCTTTGCACTTGCTACTGTCATACTTTTTTGTTATTTTTTTTCCCCTTCTTCCATGCCTGAATGTCTGCTTTCTTATAGGAAACTGGAGTATTGAGGAGTGTGAGGAAGCATTCTACCTTAGTACCAGTTGCTTGGAAATAGGGCTTTAAAAATCCATGATTGATCCTTGAAGGCAGGGGGAATAAAATACACCTTCCACCTAAAGTAGCAATTAGAGAGTCAAACAACCTTTTTGGTAAAAGAAGTAAATGCACATTAACAAAATGCATGAAGGTAATCACTTCATCTTGATCCCTTGGGGTGACTGGGATGGTGACAGTGTAGTCCACTTAGGAGGGATAGATCATTTTCCAATACCATTGAAGAGAAGGTAGTTCGAGGCTGGCGAGGGGCTTGAATCAAGACCTGGTAAGTGATTCTGGTCCTGGGAGGTGTTCATAAAGGTACCTCCGCCTGTGCCCTCTATCGCCATCACGCTAGCCGGACAGCAAGGTAGTGCGGGGTCACTGCTCACTGCATATAGACACAGAAGAGCAGCCCCTGACCTGCTCACAGGGCAGTTTATTATTACCTCTGTCATAGTGTTCACCACATTGTAATTCATCTGATGGCTGGTTTTCACAGCTCTGCCTCTCACACTAAACTGTAAAATCCTTGAGAACAGAACTAAGTCTTCCTGTCTGTGTCTTCAGAAATGCCTGTGTCACAGGGGACTAGAAAATTTAATGAGGAGTTACTGGATTTATTAAAGGGAGAGAAACATTGTCAGATAGTTTAAGAAGTAAAATGTTATTCAAACAAGCATAAATGAATAAAATTTGAAACACTAATTTGTGATTTGGGGATTACCAAAACCATTTTTAAGTAATGCTCCAATCATAGAGTCCTAGACCTGAAAATTACTTAGCGATCATCCCTCATTTTAAAGATGATAAAATTATATCTTATAATTTTGATGAAAATTGGAAGTTCTGGAAGAAATTCATGGAAGTCCCATAGATTATATTATTCCAACTATCTTTTTATAAGGCAAATAAGATTTGTACTTCATAAAACTTCCACGAGCAGGAGCTCTGTATTTCCAAATTACAGATTAGAAAAACCAAAATTTGAAAGGTTATGATACTTGCTTTATATGGAACGTAACTTTTTTTTTTTTTGGCTGTTGCTACATCACACTAAATACTTGTTCTAGAAAAGTATATTTTAATTTACAGCTTTTTCTTGACTTTTGATTCTTGCCACAAAAATGACTGTCAAAACCGAACGTAAGGTAATTTTTTTCTTTATGCAGAGTTCCATATTATCAGATATTCTCTTTCAGCAGACAGTCTCTTACTTCCTGCTACCTTCTGCTCAAAGATAGCTCTTGCCAGCCTCCATTTTTTTTTCAGTTTTCCTTAAAATACCCTAACAAAACAATTTGCATTTTGTTTATCTAGGCATAGCATAGCTGTTTTCATCATGCCTCCCTTAATTTTCCAGCAGAAGTGAAAACAATTCTATAATCATAATTTCAATTTCTCTCATAAGAGAGATAACTAGAAGATGGACACCATGACATATATTCTCTAGTGAAGCAGCTACAGCACCCATGAAATATGATTAGCTTCGGTTTACAGTCCTGTGTCAGCCCTATGAAGTCTGACCTTACCAGTGACAGCCAGTCAGTCAGAACATCATTACCAAAGATTCATTTTTCATTATGATACTTACGTGGAAATGGTTAATTTATATCAGAACACTTCCTTACTCTCTTTTGTTTAAGGAACAGAAATATTGATTTAGAGGAAATGGGCATTGATTATGAGATTTTTATTTTGAGGGGTTGGGAGTTTTTGTTTTTTATCAAACATTTGTGATCCGAAAAAATCACAACAGCACTAATAGCGTTCACATCATGTTTTTAACCTACTTTTAGGTTTTTAAACCATTTGGTTTTGAATCTTTCTTCTGAGCAATCTTATTCATTTTCTTTATTTGTAAAACGCGTAGGAGGTGGAGAATCTGTTTGTGATCCTAGCAGCAATATTACATATTGGAGACATTCGGTTCACTGTTCTTACTGAGGCTGACTCCGCATTTGTTGCTGACCTCCAGCTCCTGGAACAAGGTCAGTGGAACAGAGGAGCTAACATTAACCTTATGGATGTGCAGTTTGCAGACCGGGCAGTAGATGGAGACACAGAACAGAAAAGCCAGGTGGAATCAAACCTTCTGGAGTAGAATTCAGTGTTAGTGGTGGAAAAAGAAAAAAAAGAACCATAACCACTTTGTTCTTTTATATAAATGGTTATGGGAATGAATAATAAGATGTACATTTATGTTCTCTTGCATCCCACCACATTAACAGGTTACTTCGTCGGCACATACTTGGGTTTATTTACATTGTTCTAAGTATTCTCCACCCCCACCCCGCCACCCAGTATATTTGGGGGGCATGTTATTAGCTAAACATTTTAAACCTAATATAATCACTTCCCTGCAAAGACCTTGCCAAAAATCTCTCTCCTTTGAAGTTGCCTAGTTAGTCACGCCCACATTTTTTTCAAAATACCTTAAAACCACAGATTGCCAATGAACAGCATATCTTCACCTCATATCAAAGTAATTTAGCCAGGAATTGGGAGGAAGCACTCAGGTCCATCTGTGAGGGCAAGGAGGGAAAACGCCTGCTGTGGTTGAACATAGAGCCCCAACAACTCATTAACGTTTTGATTATTACATACTGTTTCTTTAGCTGAATTTGACAATTAAGGTGGTAGTTTAGTTTTCTTTAATACACACATTCTCTAATGGGCCTATAGAAAGCTTAAAAGGTATAACCATAAAATGCAGTGTTCCCTCTGTCAAAATCTGTACTAACTTTGTTTTCCATGCTGCTTTAATTTTAGTGGCTGGGATGTTACAAGTCTCAGCAGATGAACTGGTGTCTGCTTTAACAGCTGATATCCAATATGTTAAAGGTAAGGTTTTCTATACTCTGGCTTTCACCTTTGTGCAGCTGTAGTCTTCTTAGAAATACAGAAAGTAAATACAAACTTCCCTTCCCCCACTTAGTGAAACGATTTCTCTGAACTGAATGCCAAATGAGAAAAGCATTATGAACCCCTTTGGTCACTTGATCTGACTCTATATTGTAAACTCTTTGTGCACCATAGAGACCATTTTGATTAACTGGTCATCTTGTCTAGCTTGTCATTCATTAGACCAGGGGTCGGCAAACTTTTGAGATGGAAGAGCCAATCCTGTCCCTCACAGCAATTTAAAAATTATTTGAGAGCCATAAAACAAATGAAATCACCATTATGTGAATAATATCCTTCAAAATTTTTATAAATGAAACTATGATAGTTTTATTTTTATTTTCAATTTTACTTCAGAGCCACATGTACGTAGCCAAAGAGCCGCATGTGGCTCGCAAGCTGCAGTTTGCTGACCCCTGTATTAGACAAAGTCATCAACCCAAGAGGATTTATTCAATTAAAACATCGGATCCATTTGTGTATGTGGTGCCACGCTGCTCCCTTCAGTGAAGAGCGTGCATTTCCCTCTACCTCCTTACTCATAATAATAGGTTCCATTTATTGGGCACTTATGACAAGATTGGTGCCAAGCACAATACATTGGGGGACTTCTTTAGTTTTTACAAACCACAGTGAGGTGGGCATAACTATTTCTATATTAACAGATAATAAAACTAAGATTCAAAGAGGTTAAATAAATAACTTCGACTGCAAATCACTAGTAAATGGCATGTGTGGAATTAGAATCTTATCCTGATTCCCAAGATGAATCTCTATGCTATATGCACCTCTTTGTAGCAAGGAGAGTGGTTTTCCTACATGCTCTGAATTAGTCACTATAAATCACTGCCTTACTCTTTATTATAATTTTAAGGATTCACCATGCACCTGATTTTTTTTTTCTCTCTCTCTCTAAATCACCACTAGTCTTACCTCTGTTCCTACTGGAAGGTATTCAGGGATGTGACTTATAATTTCTGCCTCATATCTAGAGTTAACCTTCCATGTTCTTGACTTTTATGAATCTCCCCATTATTCATTCAATTACCCAAAAGTCATTCTTTTTTTTTTTTTTTTAGCTGAGCCATCCTGCCACCTGTTGGCAGCTCAGCAGCAGCTCAGCTCGGGATGGTAATCGAACTGCTGTTGCTAAGAGCTCACGCTCTTGAGCCAGCTCTTAACCAACTGAGCCACTCGGCCGGCCCCCAAAAGTCATTCTTGATACCTCTTCCTCCTTCTCCACTGAGTAGGTCAGACACATGAGTAGATCAGACTCATTAGAACCCCTTAATCATGTTGACCCTGTAGACCTCAATTCAGTCGTATTGTAAATGGCACACTGCTTTCACTGGCACCTTGTGCTGCTCTATCCCAAAGGCCTTGAACTTGCAGCTCCCTAACTCTTGATTACCTGCTGTAGGTATTTTTTTTTCTTTTCTCTTTTTGATATCAACCTGCCTCAGAAACAGTTCTCCTCTCTTATCTGTCTCTTCATAAATAGCTTTCATTCTCACTGCCGTCTCTTCATTTCCATGGCATTGCCTTAATTTATCATTCCTTTCCTAGATTATAGCAAGACCATCATTGTTAATCTTTTATCTGGACTTTCCTCGTTTACCTTCCTTCTGCACTGCTGCAGGAATAGCCTTTTTGAAATGCAATTGTGATTTTTCACCCATGGATAACAATCTTTCAAAGATCCTCCAATGCCTTTTGAGCAAACCTTGTCACTTTAGGTTGGCATAGAAGGACTTTTATTATCTAGGCCATACCTAACTTTTATGCTTCACCCTTGGCCATTTTCCCACTCGTGCCCTTGCATCCAACCAACCGTACTGTGTTTCTTGAAATTACTTAGATGCATTATTTTTTCTCATGAATTTTTAAAAACTGAACTGTCCATTAATATCTGTAATTTAATATATACATTTCCCTCTGCTTAACAGTACCTTCATTTCCTTACACACCCACCATGTTGGTGACTCATTAGAACCCCTTAATCATGTTGACCCTGTAGACCTCAATTCAATCATATTATAAATGGCACACTGCTTTCACCGGCACCTTGCGCTGCTCCATCCCAAAGGCCTTGAACTTGCAGCTCCCTGACTCTTGATTACCTGCTGTAGGTTTTTTTTTTTCTTTTCTCTTTTTGATCTCAACCTGCCTCAGAAGCAGTTCTCCTCTCTTATCTGTCTCTTCATGATTAACAACTTCCTCAACTCTCATTTCACATGACCCTCATCCTATTAGTTAACTCCCTGCTCATCCTAAGCTGCAGTGGTCAGCCAGGTAGGCCAAGGCCACAGAGTATAAACACCAGATCCCCATTCCCTCTCGACCCTCTCGCCTAAATGCTGTTGTAGGCTCAATTCCAAATCATCCTCACCAGTTTTTTTCTTGCTTTCTTCTCTGGTCTATTCTCTGCTAAAAATCTTATCATTCAAGATTTCAATTACCATCTCTTTGAGAATGACATAGAAATTTCTGCCTGAAGGCCCAATCTTGTTCCCAAATTCCAGACCCACATTTTAGTTAGTTGGACCATTTCTTTGAAAATATTTAAAATATGAATAATTTTCCAGATGGCCAGGTTTGCAAATGCCTTGTGGATGATTCAGTATCCAAACCAGTGAGCTGTTAGCAGGAAACTTGTTAAGAGGGGCTTTTCAAAGAGTTGGCTCCCTAACTGAAAGAAAATTACTCAGTCTGCATAAGGTCAAAAGCTATGGTCCACATTCATAACAAATAAGATTGCAATGTATATGACACTCATTTTAGGGAAAAAGTTTATGTAGTAACTGACAGAGACCTCATTTATTAGAATTACAATATAGTTTTCAGCATCTTTGTTATATGTATATGGGTATGTGAGGGATAAATAGTATGTGCACAATTTTGTTTGCTTCTAAATGAGAGAAACCCTTGTTCTTATACCTCCTCCCCTTTCTACTATTTCAGGAGATATGATCACCAGACGACATACTATAGAGGTGGCTGAATTTTACCGGGATCTCCTGGCCAAGTCCTTGTACAGTCGTTTCTTTAGCTTTTTGGTGAATAGCGTGAATTGTTGCCTCCACAGTCAAGATGAGCCCAGCAGGTAAGACTGATGAGTGCAGATTGCTAGTGTTATTTTTATCATAGCTAACTTTATTTTGTTTTGTTTTGTTTTGGTTTGGTTTTTTTAGCTGAGCCATCCTGCCACCTGTTGGCAGCTCAACAGCAGCTCAGCTTGGGCCAGGCATCGAAACGCTGTTGCTCAGAGCTCACACTCCCTAGTGAGCTCTTAACCAACTGAGCCACTCGGCTGGCCTCTGTCATAGCTAACTTTAAAAGTCTCAACTCTTAAAGTTGCTTCACAACCCAGTGTGACCCACAAGTTAAACGATTATTAAAACACCTCATTTTAACAAGGTGATTTTACTTGACTATTTTTTAGAGATTTAAGCCCCCTTTCCAACACAAACACACACACTGATGACTTAATGAAACCATCTCTCATGCATAGAGATGCAAATGCATTCTCTCTGAGCTGAAGGCATATATGGCCTTTTGAGCACCAAGAAGTATAAAATATTGATAAATTTAGGAAGAAGACAGTCCAAGAGTATCTATAGCACTGAAGTTTGTTGAGGAGCCCATGTCTCTCTCAGAACCAATTCCATAATGCATTTCAGATCGGTAATTCTTTCTGTTCTCTTCACTTATTTTGTGGATTACTTGACGAAGGTCTCAATGGTAATCACTTCATTCATAGCCTTAATCATCTTTAAGCAGAAGATTGTCAGGGCTATTTGATCATCTAAAAGTTATAGATCTCCATGGCATCTTGTCAATGGACAACTTTCTTAATATTCTTGTCACTAATAATGACCTTGAGCAGGTCAATGAAAGCAAAATTGCACCCAGAAATCATTACACGCATGCTTGTCTTTGAATAAAACCTTTTGAGAATTTCTTACTTGTTCATATAGACTTCTTTACCATATCCCTGAAAATTGCTGTCTTCAGAAGTTTCTTGGAAAACATTATAACTAACATGGATTAATGAGAAATTTATTAAATAAATATAGATATCTCAAAAGATTGCAAGGACAAAGGGATGCTAAACTTCTCATTAAAAAGTATATATATAAAATCCCACTGTGTATTGATCAGCATTATTCAATATACAGTCTGGGATTTGAAGGTAAATTTGGCATTATCTATATTTTAACAGACATACCTTAGTATTTGGTATGGTGAGGATTTTTTATTTTCTATTTTTTATTGCTATTATTAGTTTATTGGTTTTTACTTTAAATATGAACATTATTCATAGAATGATGCTAATATGCTATGTCTAACAAATGAACTTTGTATTGGCAGCTCTGCTGAAGTTGACATTGAAAAAATTAATATATAAATCCAGCTGCATGTAGAAACTTTTAGAAAATTTTCATTTTACATTTAAATCTTAAAGAGCCTTAAATTTATATAATTGGAAGCACACATAGTCTAGATTTTTGACTACACATACACACACACATGCACGCACACATAGAAAAAAATATAAACATAAACTTTGGAAAACACATTTTCCTTTCAGTGGGAATATTGCCACTGTGTCAATATGTAAATTTATAATGTTTTATCTTTAAAATTTTTTTTGCTAAGCGTATGAATGAGGACAGGGATTAGTGGGGAATTAGAAATGAATTAATGTATTATAAATATAACTTCTAAGAAACAATATTCTCATTTGAGTCATAACTCCCATTTTTTCATCCCTATTTCTCCATGGGTCACCCAAACCTAAATTTAAATCCTGAAATAATGCAAAGAAAGGCTATGTTTGCAATATTTCTAAATCATTGAAATTCATGGAAAGCTTAAGAATTTGCAGATTTACAGACCCATTTCCAAAGTCACAGAACGGTCTAAAAATTTGGATAAATTTGGAATAGGCTTTTATTTATGAGTCTCTAATTTTTTTGAAATTTTGTAATTATGTCAAAAAAAGATTATATAAGATATGGTTAAAGTTGGCAAGCACCTTTGATGTTGAAGGGAAATATTTTTTCACACTATATAGTTTTGTAAGTTTTTCAAGACAATAACTATAAATAAGATATACTCTGACAAATAATAGAGGGGAAACACATGAAATTAAAGCAAATGCAATGTTTGGTCTTGAAATGCTGGATGAATTTCCTGGACTACAGAAAATTAGGTGCAGTGTTGATAATATATGTATTTTAAAAGACTCCACTTTCTGTACCTAGATTCCAAATAGGGTTCCTCTCAAATGAAAATCCTGGTGTATAATGCAGGAGAAGATGACAATTAGTTAATTGCTATGAGCAAAAGCATTTGCCATGTTTGCAGGGCCAAAAGCAAGTCAGTAAAATTAATGTGAGGACACCTACCAGGGTGTTGCCTGCGGCCATCCTGGTTTCCGTGCAGGCTGCCAGCACCGGGCTCTGCAGGCTAAAGACCAGCTGGGCTGGGCATCGTCTATTCATGGGCCACACTTGGTAGTCAGGGCATTTCAAAATAGAAACACACTAAAAATTTATTTATTAGGCTTAGTTGAAAATGATTTGGCCTCAGCAAGTAAGCAGTAATGATCATAATAGCAATAATAAAATTAACAATAACATAATGCCTTCTATTTGTTTAAAGCTTTATTTAATAATTAAAATATGATTTTAAATAATATCAAATAATTTCTGAAGAAAACTAATAAAGTGGTTAAGTTTGATCTGAATTTTCAAGTATGATTTGGCCTCGACTCCTCTGTGAATTGTCAACTGACATGTGTAATGACCAGTGTAGGCATAAACAAATGTTGTGTTTAAACCACATGGAGATCCACATATAGATTCCGACAACTTCATATGCAGAAAATAGGCAGCTACTATGGACGGTGGAGATACTGGCATTCTATTCCATTTCCAATGGCCAGTTTTACCTCAGTGAACCCAAATGTGTGTTTCCAGTCCCTTCTCAGGGACACGGCCTTTCTCCCCAAGAAGTCTTCCCTCGGATGCTTCGTTCATCGCAGTCAGACCACTGTTGTGGTCACCTCATTCTCAGGAATATTTAAGATGACTGCCAGGGTCTCTTTTCCTCATTATATTAGCTTACTGGATCAGGAAATGGTATCCTGCAGCTTTGCAATCTTCCCGCTTCCCCAGGGAGCTCAATCACCAGGCTGTCCTGAGATAGCAGCGATAATGTAAAAACTGCGGGATTGCCAACTTCTTTATTTCTGTTAAAGCACCTTCCTGTAGCTCTGTGTAGGTTCCTTCCAGAGTCTAACTGCCGTGTTAGAACAAACTTCATGGCATGGAGAAGACTCTGAATAATTATCCTTAATATTTCTATTCTCCTATGGTTTATTTTGCCTCATTATTATAGAAATTATTTTTTTCATTTGGTGATATTGGTTGGCTGTTTTTAATGTAACATTCAAAATGGAAAGGCTTGCTGTTAAGTATCTGTTATTTCTCTTAATAAAACTATAAGCCTTTTGAAAAAGGCAGGTAAACCACATTACATTTATTTTTGGTCTGAAAAAGCAGCATTATGGACAATATTATGTTGACCATAAGAAGAGTGTTTGTTTTATTCTTATGGCAACATTATGAGTAGAATTTTTCACAAATTTTCAAACATGTATTGTATTGTTACCTGTTTCAGGGTAACCACTATATTAAACCTGTGATTTGTGGTGTAATGAGAACACATGTTCTTCTTATGCCTCACCTTCCTTTAAAATGAACTCAGTGAGGATATTTTTCTGACCTTGGGAGAAAAAACAGTTAAGTCCCAAGACTTTTCTGCTCATTCTTAAATAAATCACATTTCTATGAATCCTTTAAGTCTCCAATATCCAATATTTGAACAGAAATGCATAGTGCCCAAAGGTGAGAGTTCTCCTCTCTCTCTCACAGTTAAGGCCTGTGGTGGCAGCTAATTGCCTTCCAGGAAGGAATTAGGCAGACCTCTGCACCCCAGCTTGCACCCCAGCTTGCACGTTGTGCCTTCAGCTCTCATGAGAAATGGGGATGAGAACAAGGAAGCCTTGGCTTCCCAATATCTGGAGGCTTTTCTGGCAATCATGTTAGTGATTCCTGACCCCTTCTCTTGGCTTCCTCATAGATTCCCACTGCTGTACCTCTCCTCGTACAGTCTTCAAAAAGTGGAGGTGTGTGCATTTCTGCACTACTTCCTCCCACTGTCACCTATGCGTCTGGTCAGTCCAGTATATATATGCTCACGCCACACATGGGTTGAGTCCCTACACCTTCCCAGGTGTGCCTCTTGGGCGGGGATGCTCTGGTTTGAGAGGGAATTGGAAGGAGACAGTGCCTTGACGAGTTGTGGATGTTTCAGTTACTCACTTTTTATAGTTCCTAAACCAAAGATGACTACTAAACTGCATTTAGCTTTTTTAAAGGCTGTCATCCCTGTGATTCTGAAATGAAATAAATGATTGCAGTCTTACTAAAGTGGAATGAATAATACCTTAATTTTTTTCAGAGTTTCGGTGTAAACTTCACTACTGCAGAGGCACCCTCAAGCTAATATTCCTGGGCAGGCAGAGGGGTTGGAGACACTTTGGGAGAGTTGTCCAAATGTCTTCAGACACTGAAACCTATAGTGTAGTCAAATTATGTTTGTCATGAATTCTGAATACAATGGTTTGTATTTATGGGGATACTTGAGAGATATAACTTGTGAACATTTTCCTTTTTACCATTAGAAACACCCTAAAAATAAATAGATTGAAAGTTATAGAAAGTTAATAGATGAAGTTTAAGAGATAACCCAATAGAGGGGTATTGAAGATTAGTTACTTACTTTATTTGTTCATTCATTTATCATTTATGTCTACATGTTCCAAAGTCCACATTTTTAGACAGCACAATTTGGCATGCAAATATAATACAGTAAATAAATTGAGTTTCAAGTGTACCTGTTGCGATTTTCTTGGTTTGTCACTGAGCCTTTAGTTTCTTAAGTATACTTATACTATATTACTTTCTTATATTTTAGTTGAGCTAAACTTTAATGATTAATTACATTCAGCTTCAATGAACTATAGAGACTTGG